GTTAAGTTGATTATAATATATTGCTCAATATTAATTACTGATATTAGTCAATATCAATAATATAATTTAAATTAAGTTTTATTTTATTAAATTTTCTTTACTTTCTACATAAGTATATTTCTCTTATATTTTATTGAAATATAAAAGTTAAAATAAGAAAAAAAAAAATTTTTATTTTGATGAATCGAAAAATTTTAGGAAATGATTTCTCTTACTTTACAATATCTTTAATTTTAATATTTGATCTTTTATAACTGATATTATACTGATTTTTCTCACAGAATTATTGAATTTAAACATAAAATTTAATTACTTACAGCATCATTTTCAGTATAATTTGATAATACCATCAGATTACCAGTATCGACATAAAGTATATCTGATTTATTTTCACCTCTGGAATTTGTAGATGCAGATGATGCATTATCGATATATGTTGAAAGTTGACGATTTACATTTTCCTATTAATTTAGCTGAACGCTAAACAAACAATATAGATAAAACAAAGAAAAATGAAAGAAAAAAATCAGATCACTACTATTGAAAGATCATTAGTATTAGATCTATTTGAATGATCATCCATTGCAAAGAAGTTTAATATTTTAGAAAAGAAAAAATTCTAAAAACGAAAGTATATAAGTATGAGCTTCAAAAAATAATCGATAGATGAATAAAATATTAAAATACCCATTTATCTTGAATAACTATTGGAATTAAATCTCTTTTTTCTTATAGTATATGCCTCTTTCGTGAATAGTGATAGATAGTTTAACGAATTAAATAAGAAAATTCCTAGAAACATAATAACTAACATTTCATTTAATGGTGACATCTACTTTTAAAAATTCTCTCACAAAGATACTTTATTACTTTCCAACGTAAAAAAAATATTTCAAAAAAAATCTCAAACAATATTATTATCATTATTTTAGATAAATTCAAATCTTTAATCTAGGCAAACTATATTTTATCTTCATTTCATATATCTCATCAATTTATTGAAATTATAATTGAAAATATTATATTAAAATACAATATAGTTTTTAGAAAATAATTCTATACATTTTATAATTAATTAAATAATAGGTTATTAGTTTTCCAAAAGTTCATTATCTCTATTATTATTCAATTTATTTATAAAGAATACTTCAGTATATATTATGAGATAAAACTATTTCAAAAAGAAAATAAATAAATAAATATCTGCATGAAAATTTTTAGAAAGGGTGTGGGTGTGGGTTCGTAATTATTTATGTAGGCTACATCTGCACCCATAGGCAGCGGAGCGATTTCATTCTAGGGTAGGCTCAATTTTTTTGCCGAGCCATATCTATTCAAGCTAAAAAATAGTTGAAATCGTCGCAAAATCGGTCATAATTCTAATGTGTTAAAATACTTATGTTTCTGATAAATTGAAAATATCTCCCTCGGTTTTCATTCGTTCACATCAGTTGAACTTCAGAGTTTTAAGAGTTTAATCGATTTTTACAGACAGCAGTTGTGCAATCCATGAAATCTTATTTATCTTTGGTAACTTACTCTGAAATCGTGCGAAAAATGACTCAAACCGCGGAAAGATCGCTATGATCATAACGACTTTAAGTTTTCTATATTGCATTTGACCCCAATTTTATTCACATGGATCTGAACGAGTTGAAAAGTGTTCCTCGTCACTTTTTTAGAAGTGAACGTTATACCTTTTCTATCTCAATGTTAACTTTTTACAGGTCGAATAACTAGCTGTCAGATGTGACATGGTGTTCCGGTACAACAGAATCTCAAAAAAATAGATGAAAAAGCCTTTGAAAGGAAAACAAGTAGACTGAAAAGAAACTCAAATATCTACTAGCAAAAGAACTTTCATTATGTTGGCTTTTGAAAGAAAAGCAAAGCGAATACTTCATGAAGTTTATGAGGAGGTTTGGAAGCTTAAATTATTTCGTATGTGTGCATAATTCGGGTGTGGGTATCTGGGTGGGTGTGGGTGTGAGTGGGTGTGGGTGGGTGTGGGTGTGTGTGGTGGTTGTGGGTGTGGGTGTGGGTATGGGTGTGGGTGTGGGTGTGTGTGGGTGTGGCTGTGGCTGTGGGTTAAGATAAGATGAACCCACACCCACACCCAGCCCATATATTATATTAGTTAACTTCGCGGTGACACACTCTTTAAGATATTTCCTTCAATCGCGGTGTACACTCCAGCAAATGTCCGAATTTATGTGTTTTCATGCAGTTATTTTATTAACCTGTTTAAGTGCTTCTCTTTCCACTCGCTTTGACAGTGTTAAAATGAAAATTATATCAACTGTTAAAACGCAGAAATTGGGACATTTGTCGAAATGTACGATGCGTTCAGAGAAGAACGAAAATTGCCCGTTAAAACGTGTTATTTTGTCATTTCTGACTGCTTGGGTGGGGTTTGGGTGTCTCTTTGCTTCACGCATAGAGGCACGCCCATGTTCAAACCCACACCCACACATATACCCACTCACACCTACACCCACACCCTGTTTTACTTTCTTATACTTTCCTTTACTTTCTGTTACTTTCTTTCGCTTTCTTTTTATTTTCATTTCACTTTCTTTTACTTTTCTTTCCTTTCTTTTTGGAAAAGGAAAGTAAGTTAAGGTTGCTTTCCTAAAAGAAAGAAAAGTTGTTACTTTCCTTTCTTTTTAGAAAGAAAGTGAAAATGTCACCCGCAGTGTAGGTAAAGGGACAAGCACACCTTGAGTCGTCAGAGCTGCCTATATAGTACACATCTTTTTTTTTACTCTTTAGAGAAAGAAAAAAACGTTGGTTTTTCTTTTTTTTCTTAGCTTCCTCTCGTCGACTAACCGTCTATAGGCGGATGCAAGCAAATGTTGATGGCATCTTTATTCTTGTCTTTCTTCATAAGAGAAGAAAAAAAGATCTTCATGTATTTTCTTCTTTTTTCCTATTCCACTCAGTAGACTAAGCTAAAAGCATCATTATTTAAATCTACCGCTTCGTTTTGATCAGTGTGCTTTAGAACGATGTCTTCACACATGCTATCGATGTGTGCACACGCAATGTCGATGCCTGGACACGCGATTGGCAATGTTACCAGTGAGATTCCACCGTATGATGTTCTCGCCGGAAAGGATGGATATGAAATTCGTCGCTATCAGAAACAACTATGGGCACAAATTACCTACGAAGTTCCATTAAATACTGAATTTATGTCTGAAATGGGTACTGGCTTCTTTCCATTACATAAATATATTTTTGGTAATAATATAAGTGGAACAATAATACCTATGACAGCACCTGTCATTATACAAGAAATAACAGATAATCAAGTAATCAAACGAACAATGACATTCATAATGTCACCGTCAAGGTTTAGTTCATTGGATCAATTACCAACTGCCATTGATACGAATATTCGTATGGTTGAAGAGCCGAACACACGTAATGTCGCTTGTATTACATTCAATATGACAATGACACATGAGAAAAATGCAACAAAAGAACAAGAACTTCGAGAAGCTGCACATCGAGATGGTCTCATATTGTCGTCAGATAGAAATGATGTCATGTATTTTGGTTACAATCCTCCATTCACTATTCCTTACTTTCGACGAAATGAAATCTGCATACCAATTGTTGCTCAACAATAATTTGCTTTTTTTATGCCACAAGTAATCTTACCTTTGTTGAAATTACTCATTGGTAAACTATTCTAATATGTGAATCGGTATATTTTTTTTGTTTTTCTGAGAAGCGCATTCATCATGTGCGTATCAGTGATCTGCATAATGATCTTTTATACTGTTGTAGTTTGATATGTATAAATAATTATTGTCCAGTATCTATTTACTTATAAACGTTGGCCATGATTATGTAGTCTCGTTTTTGTCTAATATTTTATTCCAACTATCATAGTGTCAATATATAAGTTCATCTTAATAGAAAATCTTGGACGAATTTTCCTTATAAAAACTCGTTTATTCATGATCTTTACATCGTCTCAACGAAGTAAATTTCATTTGTATTGTCTTTCTACGTTGGCCTATTTCTTTCACTTTCTATCATTACTTGTCACAATATTTTCCAGTGCTCAATATGGATATTACCGATTCAGGTTATTCGAGATTATAAGACAATATCTTTTTCTCATTGTTGTAACAAAATTTTTTCCAGATATTCGTCTTCTGAAGTTTTGTTGCATATATTGTTAAGCAACAAGCTAAATTATTCTAGTAACTGATAATCTCTATAGCATTCAACTATTTTATGGTTTTCTGCCTTATCTTGTTATTTTCTCTACTTAACGAGTATTTCAATAAGAAGACAACAGACTGTACAATATACTCATGATTTTAGAAATCAGCATCGGTTATTTTACATTACGGTTGGCCAGTGATGCAGAAAATGCTTTCAAGGCTATTGTTGCAAATGAAAATGTGAAATTTAATGAATTCTTTTATTAGGTCTTCAGGCATTAATTTATATTATGTTCAAATTAAATAGAATATAAAACGACTCGTTATTTTGTGAAACACGATTTGAAAGGAGTGTTGAAGTGTTTAGGGGCAGAAATTTGCACCCCCCCCCCCCCCCCCGGCCCCACAGACCGTGACAGAGAAACTGTAGTTTTGAAGCATCAAATAAACGGTAAGCTACAAATTTATCTTGAAGAAATGGAACGAAACGATGTCCATTTAATTAGTAACAATAGATCCATCGTGTTTCACATTTTTAATCCCGCAAGGGATTGCGCTAACAGCTTTATTATCAAGCGTTAAAAGTTAGTCGTGCATGAAAACAAAAGTAAATCGATAACGAAGAATGGTTTGTCTCCTGCTGAAAAGAATCCAAGCAAACTTGCGACTTAATGTATAATTATCTGAAAGATTGTGTATTTTAATATATTACACTAGCTTTTTCAATTAAGAAATTGTCCTTACTCGTCAGCAACTTCTGTGAGATCATTTTAGACAGTAAACGTTCAGAATTGTTGAAGATGTAGCAAACTAGAGCAATCGATCTATTTTAAGAAAAGAAAACTATTCGAATGTTTAAGATCAAACTTAGTGAATCAGTGTATTTTCGAAATTTTCTTTTACCTGTCAATTGCTATTCGGGAATCTACAATACCTGACTATGATTTTGTTTGAGGTGTAGGTCACAGCGATCTTGTACATTTTGACTTCGAATGTCTATCGTGAATTGTCTATTTCCACATTCAAACAACGTTTAGCCACTTTTCGACGTCGTCTTCATCTTACATGAGATCAACCTGTGAATCTTGCATATATTTGAGAATGTAGGTAAAACACATGTTCTCAAACACACGTCAGTAGACTATGATCAGTCATGTCTCACATATAATGGCTCTCAAGATCATAATACAATGAGAACGTTGTTTCACTCTAGTCGATGTTTCTATATGATTATAAATCAAGCAAACTAAACTAATCTCAGAAAACCAGACACAAAAAACAATAGCGACAGCAGCATGATTTCTTCGCCTAGCATTAGTCTGATACATCGACGAATGCGAGGATGTTTACATTCGTACAATATGATGGTCAAATCTATACGTCATTCTAGCAAGCATTGGTTGTGCATTACATGTGCATGACGTACTGTGCGACTTATACTGGGCCTACTCGTTCAAATGTTGTTGATGGATTAGATTCGCGCTAATACCACGTCATTTTCACTGCTTTGTCTTTATCATTTCTCGGATGAGTTAATAATTTAATCCTCTTTTTTTTATTCAATCTGTTGCAAAATGAAACATGACCGATGATAATTTTCAGTTTGCTTTTTATTTCATCGTTAGAAAAAAATTTTTCTCAGGTGTGGGTGTGAGAATGTGTATGGATACTATTTTGTTCTTCAACAGCACACCCACTACTGGACATGGCCAGCTAATGGCCGCTTTCGCTCTCAAATTTTTACTATTAATAGGACACTGAAAGATGTATCTCTCCTGAAAATTTCAACTATCCGTACCGTTTCATTTACTCAGGACAACCCCTTGAAAAACAGAATTTTGATAAATGTGAGGACTTTCAGGATACGCTTTGTCCCAAGATATGGATTGCCTGAGGCGTTGGTTATTAGAGCTTGGAAGTACTCTTTTTGGGCTGCAATTCTGTAAAAAAAATTAGCGTGGGATCTCCTAGAACGGCCCCAGGGCACTCATTGCAAAATACGAAAAAATGAGCCTTTTTTATAGGAAATCTACCCAAGTGCACTTCAAAATTCCTCCAAGGATTCTACTATGTGACATAAATTTTATATGGTAAAAATCAGCATCTAATTCTCTATTAGTCTATATCGAAATATCCTTTGAAAATGAAAAAAAAGATTTTTACGAAAAATCATCCTAGGGAAGTACAGGGGTTGTGAGAATAAAATGTTACAGAAAGAGGCCTGGAGTGGGGTAGGGGAATTTTTTGTAAAAATTTTCTTTTTCATTTTCAAAGAATATTTCGATACAGGCTAATAGAGAATTAGATGCTGATTTTTACCATATAAAATTTATGTCACAAAGTAGAATCCTTAGAGGAATTTGGAAGTGCACTTGGGTAGATTTCCTATAAAAAAAGGCTCATTTTTTCGTATTTTGCAATGAGTGCCCTGGAGCCGTTCTTGGAGATCCCACGCTAATTTTTTACAGAATTGTAGCCCGAAGAGAGTACTTCCAAGTTCTAATAACCAACGTCCCAGAGAATCCACATCTTGGGAGAATGCCTATCCTGAAAGTCCCCACATTTATCAAAATTCTGTTTTTCAAGGGGTTGCCCTGAGTAAATGAAACGATACGGATAGTTGAAATTTTCAGGAGAGATACATCTCTCAGTTTCCTATTAACAGTAAAAATTTGAGAGCCATATATCATTCCTATCAAAAGTTATGAAGCACCAAAAATACCCAAAATGGACCTTTCTTCCTAAATTGAGTGCTTCATCAAACTCCAATGGCTCAATATTTTAAAACGAAATTTTTATGGTAAATAGAATTCACTGAGATATATGGTAGTAGACAATTTCAGCTCATTTGGTTGAGCCATTCGTGAGATATCGTTGGATTCGGACCCCTATTTATAGATATATGGTCACTTTTAGGCCTTTTCGTAAAATGCTCATAAAAAATCGAGGGTCCAATAGTTTTTGAACCGATTTGCGTCAAAAATCATAAAACTCTTCCCTCTATAACATATCTTAAATTGAGCAAGTTGTGATGATATCGATTGACCAACTTCGGTCATTGCTTACATAGACTGGTTCTTAAGGCTTTTCGCCGTTTTGATGAAACTTTGATAAATTCCTCTCTACATTTCGATTATGTCTTAATGATAATCATGCACGTGTTGTACGTATTCCATTAAATGTTTTACCAACATTATCTCCTTTTTTTTTATTAATTAATACTCATAAATTTACAATCATAGGAACTGAATTATTAGAAGATTCTGTTCAAGATAATGTATGCCTTTATATCCTTGCTATATATATAAAATAGGTTGCTCTAGCTCAACTTATAGGTAATATTGATTTATCTTGAACAACAACAACAATAAACAGAACAATGAATTTCGCAATAGGAATAATAATGCAGAAGAGAAAAAAGATGTTGTGTTTTGTTATACTTTTATTTAGAATCGCTCATTACTGAATCGCTGTATTCATATTATCTTTCAATGTCTTAGTAATGATGATACACATATTTGTGAAGGAATTGCTTCGACTTTGGCTAAGTATGCATGTTGTAAAGATCTTAACCAGCTAGCTTCTTTTCTCGAATCATTCCATTCGACAGTCTTCATGTGATATTAACATAAGAAAAATATTAACTTCTTTTCTAGTACAAAATATTCAGATTTGTTTTTATGAAAATAAAAGATACGAGAAAATCTGACACTTTCATGATTGAACTAATTCTATCGAGAAATTTCAATGCATAAGCCGATTTTATTGCAGTAAGTTAGTCATTTACTATTTTTTCATTTCAAGGTTTGTTGATCACTGTTCATTTTTAAAATATCAATGGTCAATACATTATTTAGTTAAATCGTATGAACAACACTTCGACCAATTTTTTTCATAATCAATATGTTGAACTTCGTTAGCTTATCGTTTTTAAATATTTATTTATATGATATGATCTTAATAATTTACAACTATTAATCAATAATATTAATTGAATCATTTCAAGTAAAGAGAACAACATATTTATTATATTTTTCTCAATTGTTTCTTCTTGGTTAAAGATTAATCAAATAATGCAACTGATGTGAATCATCTGTTTTTTTTTCCTAAAGAGGTTTTAGGAAAACGTATTTTTTTGTTACTCATAAAAATAAAAAAAAATGTTGTGAAAGTAGCACAAATAATTAGAGTAATTCGAAAATTGAACTGATTTACTTATAAGGGACATCAAAAAATTCTTTCGTCAGTTTTTATTGAATATTTCGATCGAATTATTTCAAAAATATTTACAGTTATTATTTTACATTGGCTGGAAGATATGTTTCTATAGTCGATTTTTCAGTTCTTACTGCAAAAAAGGAGTTGTAAAGTTTTAGATCCTAAGAATATACTAGATCGTGTACCTAGTTTATGGAAGGATAGTTGACTTTCATATTGGATTTTCAGAACATCTG